TCAATATATACAAAAAAATATCAAAAATTGTATTCATTAAGAATAGCAAATATTTGTACACATTTAACATAAACAAGTTAATGAAATTTGTAATCAAATATTAGAAATTATTATTAGTTAAGAATACATTTTTTTAATCAGAAACCTGATTAAAAAAGAATACTAATCTAGATATATTTTGTATAATTTTTAATAAAATCTATACATAAATGTCCACAAATAGGTGGATCATTATAGTCTTGAAATTTTCTAGGTGTTATTTTAAGATTATTTTACTAATTCTTTTGGAGGATTAGCATTACCATAAGAATCAAAATAAATTTTTAAATTTTTATATTTTATCCATGCAATCCAATGTGTTACTTCTTGTTCAGAATTATTTAAATTAAATAATCAACATTCAATTGTTAAAGTTTTTGTTGGCAATTCATCTCTCATAAAACATCCTCGAAAATTTTACCAGATTTCATAATATCAAAATTAGTTAATGGACTGATTTCCTTTTTAATTCCACATCCAACTTGTAAAGTTTTAACATTATTGACAATTTTGTCCATTTCTTTATTATGTCTTTCTTGCTCTTTTTCCGCTGCTATCTTATGTTTTCTTTCTATAATAGTATTTGCAATCGAACTTATTCCCCCAAATAATGCACTTGCAGCTCCTATTCCAGCAAAAAGAAGTGGAAGAAATCCACCTTGTTTAATTTTTTCATATTTCAATTCTAATCTTGATCCTTTTTTTCCTTTCTTAGATTTGTTTAATTTTATTATTTGTTTTTCGGTTAAATTAAACCTTTGATTTCCTGTTCCAATTAGGTTGTTTGATAGTTGAATTGTTACACCTATTTTTTTATTATGTGCAGATTTATTTTTTTTCAATTGTGCATCATTTAAATTAAGATTCATTTATTATACAAAATATTAATTTTTTATTTTAAATAAGACCCATTCCTAATTTTCTTTTTACTTTCATTATATTAGTAGTTGCATAAGCTGCTGTTTTTTCACTTAAAGATATATCTGATGTAGATCTTTACTTACTTACACATGTTTGTTGTGTTATGAGCATATTGCTATAATATATAGTATAGTAGTATAAGCCCTTTGTATTAGAGCATAAGAGTATATTATTTTAGTCTATCGATAACGCCTAGTGTGTACGCGGCTCCGAGAATATTGTAGCCATACGGCACCCGTGAGAGAGCCGCGCAGTCAGTCGAGCTACCACTTTTAAAACTGTACGTCGTCAC